TTGCGAAAGTATATATATTGCTGTATACACGCTTTTAATTTTGGTTTAATTTACAATTCGTTTAAATACCTTCTCATTTAATTCAGATTTTTTAGTTTAATTTTGTTTGTAATTTTCATCCTCTTTTGTTCTATTTTTTATAGTTTATGCACCAATACTTTATACATGCTGTGTTTGTCTGTAAGTGAAATTACATGTTTCCTAAAACCTTTTGTAATAGTGCCAAAAATGTATATAAGAACACATGTACTTTTGTTGACGAACCAAATAAATAAATAACTAGCTGTCGCCAACGACTCCGTGTAGGATTAGAAATACAATTTATTGAGTAGCCTGTGTGTTCTTCCAGACTATATTCTGTATCTGCCGAATTTCTTCAAGTTCCGTTGCGCCGTTTTTCAGATACCTTCAAACATACATCCATCCATCTAAACATTCGCGTTAATAATATTAGTAAGATTAAGACACAATAGTGCTTACTTGTATGCCGTGGTATGATAACGATATTCGATACACTTTCTATCAAATTTAATTTCTCATCAGATGTAAGTCAATCTATTCGTTTCTTTCCCACGACGTCAATTACAGCGTAGATAATAAAGTCACGAGAATGACTTGCGCCTAAATGATACAAGAACAATTTTATCTGTCGACCATTTTAACATAATAGCAGCCTTTGACTATAAAACCGATGAAATAAAATCATTTAAATTATATGACGCACATTTCATGATATTAACCCGGTTACCAATGAGCAGTGACAACTGACAGTCTACTCAGCTAATATTGTATTTAACACGTGCTTGGTATGCAATTACATTCCGATGCTGCAAAGCGATGTTATTTTTTTTTCGGTATGAATATTTAAATATTAAAACATGCTAAGAAACAACGAGGGTCTGAAACTTTTACAAATTATTAATCTCTCATTGTGAAGAGTATTTTTTTTATTTTTTCAAAAATTCTGTTCAGTGTGCAAGATGTTTTATAATTACGAAATATTTATTGCAGCAACATATTTGTTGATACTGTTATAAAAGAACCAATTGTAACCCAAACGACATGGTAAATCCAGTCGTAAAACCAATAGCAGGTAGCGCAAAAAATTCTAGCTCAAGCCTGTATTGTAAGCAGGTAGAGGGATCCCTTACAAAAACAGCTTTAAAATTTTTAAAAGGATACACAAAAGACAACTTTCTCTAAACTTGCCCGTGTGACTGAAGGAAAAACAAGTTGATCCTTTGCTTATACGATAGCCAGCTTTGGGGACGTCTCGACGATAAAACCGTGGTTCAAGTTTCGAGTGCACAATTATAATCAAAGTATTCACGGAGAATGTTCAGAACTCTATTCGACACGGCAGCAGGCCATAAAGGCGCACGGATCAAGTTTTTGAATGCGGCTCGCGGCAATTAGATACGGCGCAGGGCGCAGACTAGGCGCGACCCGCTACGCCGCCCGGACTACCTCCACCGATCAATCTGCTCTCCTCTCTCTGCTCCTTCTACCCTCGTTTAATTAATTTATTGGGTTCGATCAGGGCCGGGCAGGACGTGCAAACGTATCCTATGATCAATTGTGGCGGCTACCGGCCGACGGCTTGCAATTAATCAGGCCGAGTACCGCCGTCTGCCCGCAAATTTTCTTTCATTAATTTTCCTCGCACGTATATCATTCTTGTGTATATTTGTCATGATTGTATGTAACTTGCAAAAAAACTGCCGCAATTAGGTGTGTATACAAAAAACGTGTTTCAATTTATGAATGATAAATTTTCTAACGACCTACAAGAATACTATAACGATAATAATTTTATGAGGCTTAGGGTCTTCTACAATTAATGCATTCGATTTTCTTGACAAAAAATTGCAAAAATAAATAAAACACTAGGTACATAATTTTTACTCTGCATTATTATATGTAAAGGCCATAAGAACTAAAGTATTATAGTCGTTCCTATTTATGGACCGTTGCATGACATTTGTTAGCTGATGCTAACGTTGTTCGCAGCTTTCTATACAACACCGCGGCCGCTCGTCACCGTGACACAATACCGCAATTGTTTCTTAATGAAACGAACGCATAACCCCCGTAAATGGTAACTAACCAGCTACATCGTACCACTACTGAATTAATTATACCAATGAAATCTGGCACTCCACGAAACATTTATAAATCGAAAGGTTAATGTTAAACGAGTTCTTATTTGCATTCACGAACTAGCGAGGAGGATGGCAGATGAGCCTACGGGCTGGGTTTTAGGGCTCTCGAGCGGCGATCGACGCCGTTTCAGAATAATCAGGCTTGCCTCCCCTCGTCGCGGTCGTTCACACACAATCGCCGAGCCGAACGCCATCAGGGCCCTGCCTACGCACGACGAGTCCGCACAAAGCGTCCACCCAGACCCGGCGACCGGCGACCGCAACCCTCGTTGCACGCACACCGCCACACAACATCTACTTACTTAATATTTTAAAAATTAGACCTTAACAACTCAACGGAAGGTATAAAATTAATTACATTTATTACACGCAGGCGCTGCAGCCATCACGATATCGTCCTACGACTTGCGAAAACCCATTCCAGTGAACGGCAATAAAGTGCAAAATTGCATGGAGTCAAGAAACATCAGGGTTCTCAATGTGCACTCGATTGCGGAATACATGAATATTGAAAAGCACTCTTATGTCTGTTGACGCTGAATCGAATACACGTCAACGGCGGTTACAAACAAACGCCACGTGTTTACAGAGGGCAGCTAGTAACCGTAGATTAGAAATAGTAAGCCCCCAACTTTTGAGCACATGTTGAGCGCGCAATGTGCTGAGTGCAGACACATCGTAATAAAATACGAAAGTTAAAGTAAATTCAAATCAATCCATACAACTTATTCTACATTTATTATACTAAAATAACATTAAGAGACTACTTAGTCTTAGTAAGGCAAGTAAGTGTTGGCTTTAATTAAGTTTTAAAAGGTTTCACGTGTCGCCAAATTAAAAACTTATCGCTCTTTGTCGATTTAACGAAGTCATTTAGTTTCCGAAAGCGACGTTATTGACTTGATTGAGCGAAGTCTTATATTCGAAAATAATGCCCTACTTAACCGTTACCTGTTCTTGTTATTTACAGGTTTCAATAAAAACAAGCTTAAGGACGACGTGAAATATCGATTCACATTAAGATACTGTGCTGTAAATGTTTCTACGTTTGTTCCAACGCGTTTTAATCCACTGGAGGACAAATTTTAATGAAACGATGTTCCCTTTTACCGCAAAATGGTTTGTTCACCCTAAAAACTATCTTTTAATAAAACTTGCACTAATTTAATTGTCCCCTTTTTATTCTGCAATTTAAATAAAACCTATTTAATGACAAAAGTCACAACTCTGGTCGCAATTTGAATTGGATTTATTAGGCTATAATAATATGAAATATGTATGGGTCGACGACATCTATCAACCACAAAACCTATAATAAAATAAATTTGGCATCTATTCAAATAGGTTTAAAATCACATATAACCATTATAAAAACGTCTTTAAATTTATTGAAAGAATTTAACGATTAACGGACATGGTATAAAAGCTGCAAAAGTTTAATTACGGTTCTATTAATGAATAATGTGGTTCATTGGCCGTTTATATTTCGACATTTATACAGACTAGACCATAGACAATAGCTAAACTTTTCTACGTTTTATTCGAAAAAACAAAGACTTGTGACAGTTGAAATATGTCATGCAAACGTCAATTTAAACTTACACGATTGTATGAACGTATAATTATTGTATGAAGAAAAAAAATGTTTTAGTTTGGGTTTTAATGACCCATGCTTATAGTTGTTACAATACAGTGGGCAAAGGCAATAGTATTGTGGCTGTATTGTGATATAACACGACAATGGGGCGTTGTTCCCGCGCCAAACACCATGCCTACAAATCATAGAATATACAAACTTACTTTACACTTCACGAAAAATATAAAAATGTTAGATTAAACCCAACACTACTATTACTAAGCTGTTATACTTTTTCATTCAAGGCTGTCATGCTTTTCTGTATCTAATAAAATAAAAAAGAATTAAAAAAAACTAGATCAAACCACTACATCAACTAAAAATGTAGGTTCTACAAACATATGTAAAAGTAATCAAATTAAATTATTGAAATAAAAGTAGTGTTAACAAGACATTAAGCAAATAAATATCATAGTGTAATATTTATAGAAAGCACAATAATGGGGTGAACAAATTTTAGGTTGTTAAACACTGATTGAGTTTAACAATTTTAAATATATTAAATCAATATATTATATTTATTTTTATTACACTAAACAGCTGGCGAGTAAACAAGGTGTGTTATTAAATTAATAAAATAAAATCACAAAAATTCAAATTAAAAATTAATAATGTCAGTCGTATAGAAGCACATTTTTGTGGATTTTAAATGGGGATGCATAACAAATTGTTCCATTCTTTCCAATGTGACATATTAAATTATACAAAGCATGTTCAAGTGGTATTAAAATTGAATAAAAATTATCTAGTCTATTACTCAATACAAATTATTAACATCAAACCTACACTACAACTTTATTTAAAAGTTTTTAGACAATTTAGGTAATAAAGCAATAACATAATTCAGTTCTGGCATTATCTAGAAGAGTGTAAGATATTTATATGTAAACAAAGCCTTTTATCTCTACCTGAATTATCAACTGAATTTTGTAAAGTGACAAATATTTTACTCAAAATTTGTCACTTAAATAGTTTAAACATTTGTAAGGTATTTAGAAATAGGAGAACAAATTTAATGTTTCTACGAAACTATGTCTAGGCTGAGTAAAAAAGTTTTGGTGAAGTTAATTAGAACTACTACGGAAAAATCAAAGGTAATAACATGTGAGAAACATATATTGCAAGGCATGGGAAAAACTTAATTAAAATAACAACGAGATATATAAGAAGACAGCGACAGAGAAAAAAGTGGTAAAACTTACCATACGACACCGAAGGCACCGTAACCGATGGGGCGATCAGGCTGCACGTCGGTGGGAATGGCCGGCGTCTGGTAGTAGGGCGCCGCCGCCGCCAGGATGGCGCCCTGCGGCGCGGTCTGCGTACCGCCCTGCATCAGCGACATGGAGACACTCATGGAGACGCGAGAGTGCCGCGCGGGGCCACTTACGGCCGCCATCCAACCGCTCCGCGGCGAGCCGTCACCGCAGACTCATCACACGCCGACAGCCGCGCCGCAATCACCAGCTCTCGCTTCCCGACGGAAAAGCGACGCTATCACCGCTTACTTCTTTATTATTCATGCTCGAACGACTATGCGGGAACCACAAACGCACACCACAAATGTCCCGAATAACACCTGTCAATTTCACCAGTTTACGTCTCGCTGCAATGTTTTTATTCTAATAACTTATGTTTTAATAAGTGCTAAATTAAAACTCAGTTTTGAGTTTATTTGGACAAAGGATGATACCGTATTTTTTTTAATCGCGATACGTGCGATCGTCCGCACGCTACAGAAATCGAGCGAGACTGACTCTTTTGCAGAAGGGGGAGGAAGCGGCGCGAGAAAGAGACGGCATGTTAAAATGGCGATAGCACTATGAACAGCTGCTCCACCGAGTTCGCTTGGCGTGTCGAGTATATCCTCTTCTGAAGGGAACAAACTCTGCTCTGCAGTATGCCTGCTGTTGTATTGTTCTGTACAATATACTTAATACCCAAATTTGGAAAAAAAATTAATTTATGCAGTAAAATGTCGATTTTTCATTAATACGATTATCCAAGTTACTTCGGCGCAATGATCATAAATGTTCATAAAATGAGCTATTACTCGTCATTATAAAGACTCATTCATCATGCCTCAAAAGTGTGAAAAAGTTCAGTTTACATGGTTCATTGTCAACCTAAGCATGCATTCCTACAAGGAACACATACGCTTGTAACCCAGTTGGGTAGGCAGATACGGATTTCATGAATAAAGAACTTTATACTACTCTCTCACTTCTTCAGTATCCATGGCAAACTAATGGCGTGACACGAACACTATTCCTCTCTTTTTCACATAAAGTATGAGAGGGAAAGCAATAATGTCGTGTTACAGTGAAGACGTACTGGAAGAATATCAAGATCAGCTGCTATCAGTCCACTGCAGATGCTGCTATATTATCCACTTACTTCCCCAATGTCTTGTAAAGATGTTAAATGATCTAGATGAAGTATTTCACATTTTGATATCTGCGTAACGCAAATGTTACCAGCGTAACTGCGTTGCCCGAAATTGAAGTGCAAAATTTATTTACCAAAAAAAAAATAACTTCAAACTTATAAACAAATGTTTATTAGTATAATTAATAATACGTATTATTTTCAATGTTTTCTCATGGGTCGCATACGTTTCATTGGACTTACCTGTTTGCTCTAGAGGCGAGTGGACGGCACTGAATGTGTCAAGGTCACTATTGACATTTAATCGAACTTTTTTTTAAGGTAAAAAGCTGCTGCACTTCTGTGCTCCGGTTCAGGTTTTCACATTATACTATCCTCGAAATCTAAGACTTATTTTTTCAATGGTCAATTTACTTCTAGTAAAGGGAAGTGGAAATAAAACGCTTTGCAATAAATATCAATGATTTTATCACAGAGAATCACATTGTGTTATACAACATATTTATGTGGCTAGTATAAAATATTCCTTATATGACATAATTACATCATTGTATATATATTAATATTAAATACTTAAATTACCATTGGAAACATTGCTACAAAATACTATATTTGTCTATTGAATGTTATTTTTAAATAAAAATCAAAAGAAATTAAACAAAAAAATTAACCATACAAATCTTTGATATTGCAAAAACTTTAAAATAAAATACCTAAATTAAATTAGTTTTCAGAGTATTTTATAAAAGTAATTTATTGTATATTTGTAAACGGAATTTGTTAAACAAACTACATGAATTTATGTTATAACGCTGCGTGAAATTTTTCGTAATTTAACAAAAAAATATGACAAAGAAGAAAAATGGCTGTTACATACGAAAACGTGAGAGAAAAATCGTTTTATTAAAAACTTAATAAGATTATTATCCAATACAAGCACACACATTTAAATTTACCTACGATCTAATTTCAAATACGTGTTCACTAAACTATAGAGCTAAGTGATTTTTGTACAATAAAATTGAGATATACACGAATACAAAAAAAAATCAATACATTATTGTCTATTTACATTTATACTTTGGACTGGCTTCGCTTTAGAATACGTTACAATGTTTATATACAAGAATGTATATCCTATTTTAAAGAAGTTATTACAAACATACAGACGTTAATTTTCATACATTGCCATCAAAATATTTCGTATTTTTTTTTAGAAAATTTTATTTTGTAAAAAACGTGAGATGAAGAAAATTGTAAAACATGGATAGCTTATGTATTCTTATAAAAATATTGCCTTTAGTGTCTTTTTTATTTGGGCTTTCTTTTAGATCAAGGTGAGGATTTTGAGTTTAAAGTAACATCAAAACTGATTATAATTTAAAAAGTATGTAATAAATATATTGAAGTTCAGAAATCATTCTACGTATTTGAGGTTTCTCATATGTTTTGTTGACTGTCTTTTCACTTTTTTTCCTTTAATTTAATTGGACATGGAGACTATTTTCTTTCTTTTTCTTTTTCCTCAAATATTAAATGGTATTGGAATTTCTATTTTAGAATATTTTTATGAATGCTTTTTTTTAATTTTTGCAATTTTTTTTTTAATTCATATTTAATTCGGGTACACTCAGCCTCTTTACGCATTTATCGATTCATAGTTATAGTCTATTAAAATATTGCATTGTTATGTTATTTTATTAAATTTGAAAATAAAAAAATAAATAAATTATTTAATAACTAACATATTAAAAAAAATTGGCTAAAACTGACCGACAGAACTTTGAATTGATTTAACGTTTGTAATTAATCAAAATATCCAAAGAACGAAATAAAAAAAAACATTTTAAGACCAAAAACTTGAATATTCGAGGTTTAAAATTTAATAATCTGATACCAGTGTGGAGACGATCTTTAAATTTTAAGAATGGGTTTTTGTTTTTTTTTTAAATATTACCAGATTTTTTTGTAAATTTACTAATATTTCTTTAACCATTTCAACTAAGCTCTAGGCTTGTGCTAGGATATGGTTTACGACAATAGTCGAATGGCGGGATTCGAACCCTTGACCTGGTGGTCGGAAATCCGTACCCTTAACCATTAGGCTATCGACGCCGTTTATACTTTTTGTTGGATATTTCATATGATACAGAACCCAAAACCTTTAATCATCATTAAAAACTAACTTAAGGCCTCTTACAGATGATTCCAAGGCCAAAGTGTGAAGGCTACAGTGTTAGGATATGTAGACTATCTTAGGTAATCTAGGTGGTTTAGGAGAGTTCAAATCCTGTATTACTGTTAACAGCATATCGCAGTTTATCACGCAAAGTGCTGCGTTTCTGATAATTCGGCAGCTTGAGTAAGTTAAAACAGGTCGATGAAGTAGGCAGACGGTTCAATGGATCCTTCTTTCTTATCGTGAAGAATCCTCTTATTACACTTCCTGTAAATATCAACATTTTAGGAACATTTTTATAATATTTTACTTTATTAAAAGTAACATACCTATTGTATCACCCGTGTCCTCATCGTCACCAACTTCCACACATCGTATGGAGAAGGGAGGCTTCAGATGGGCGAAACCTAGTACCGGTGGCTTGGAACATGATGTTACAAACTGTAAATAAATTATGGAGAAGTTTCACAGCAGTGTAAAGACAGTGAAGGAGGAGTGCAGGGTAGTTTGAAAGAGTAGCGTGAAGTAGTGTATTCGAGCATTGTGAAAGATTAGTGTGAATGAGTAGTCAAATGAATAGTTAGGAGTAGTTTGAAGTTGTGAAAGAGTAGTCTGTTGTAGTGTGCAGGAGTAGTCTGAAGTAGTGTGGAGGAGTAGTCTAAAGTAGTGTGGAGGAATAGTTTGTAGTGGTGGGGGGCATACCTTGAGGAACATGGCGCGCTCGTGCTCGGTGAAGTCTCGCTGCAGCACGTCCCAGAGCCAGCAGACGACGCGGTGAGAGTCATGGAAGCCGCCGTAATAAAGCGTGTGACGGCGCAGGTCGCGCAGGTCCAGCGGCACATTGTCGCCGCTTATCAGCCGCTGCAGCTGCTCAGTGCAACAAGTACAATATTATATCATCATATATTCCAAAATTATACAAAACTACATGAATAAAGACATAATGTTAAAGGCGCATTCCATATTTCTATTGAAACTGAAGATTTTTGTGTAATATAATAAGATTATAAGAAGAAAGGTTTGATTGTTTGTTTGTATTGAATATGCTAGGAAACAACTGAAGTGATTTGAAAAATTCTTTCACCGTTTTCGTTGCGTCGAAGTCGCGGGCAACTATTACTTTTGTAATAAAGTTAATGAAAATTGTAAAACATGATCAAATCAAACGTAGATTTTAATATACGACGTCTACACTAAGGTGTTAGAACACCATGTATATAAACTGGATGTCACCTCAGGAGTGGAGAACAAGGAGAGCCATTCTGGATTGATGATTGTCCGAAAACCTTTGATGAACGCATTGGTCTGGTCCTTGATCTGCGTGTGCATACGGAAGTGTGCCATCATGTGGATGTAGTTTATTCTAGAAACAAAAGCATTATAAAATTATTAAAATAGAACGAAACTAAGTTTTTTATTTTAGTATATTTGTTGAAACTTACTTATTTTCATTAGTAACCGGTATCGCCTTGCCGCCGGGCACAAGCTCGTGCGTCACAATCTCACCTAATCTCTCTTCATCTACTGAAAATGTTAACTCCAACGTTGATATGTCACCCTGAAAATAAAACAATAAAATCCTAATAATTACATGTTTTGTTTTGTGTCATACCATAACGTCAGCTAATTTAACCACAAGATAACAGCTAAAAGCAATTTCTGGTTTACATCATGCCAGTACAGTAGAACAGTAGCACTGACCTGATATGGATTGTTTTGGCTCATTAGCGCCGGTTAGTGTTTACATTACGCCAATGCTGATTTTAGCGCTACTGTCTTACTGTACTGGCATAATATAAACCAGGCATAATGCTTCACTAAACATGATATTTAAGATTTACTTTAATTGCATAATAAATAATAATATTGTATGGGAAGAGACTAGATGTTGAAAATGTCTACCAGTAGTGGGGACCTGGAAATACATGGAGTGGGATCTGGTGTCAGACCTGGAAGTGCTTGATGTATGTGAGGCTGCGGTAGAGGTCGCGGTCGAGTGAGGGCAGCTCGTCTATCCAGCTGTAGAGCGCCTGCTGCGTCTGCCCCAACACCTGGCTCAGGAAGAACGACGCAAACGGCACGTCCACTACAATACCCTGGACAATAATTACATTCACTGACCATTCGAAAATACCGTATTTTTGTAATTTCTCTAGAAAAACTGAAAATAACCAGCAAATGAAATTATAATAAGCATTGTCATATTTCGGCGACACTTGTTAGTCATTTTGTGTAAGCAATTCGTTCATTATGCAATTTTCAGTCTAGGTACATTATAAAAGATCGACATTTCAATACCTCGTATACAGCTTTGCCGAGCATCCTGCCTATAAACTCGAAGAGCTGGAGATGGTTCTCCTGCAGGCAGGAGGTGGGGGAGGGGTACAGGCGCTCCTCACTCGTCACACGGAACAGGTTCAGTGAGGGGTCGAACACTCGCTTGATCGTCTCCTCCAGGAACTCTGCAATAAATAAAAACATTTGACTATTTATAATCGTTCAATGGCTAGATATCTTAACCAGAGGAAACGCGGGATTTTTATTTTTCATTAATTTGAAAACAAAAATACAATAACAATCAATCGCCCTTAACCGCAAACTTATTCTAACAGTTGCCATATATGATAAAGCTATAGCCTGACGTAATGAAAAAAAATTGTCATACAACTTCCAAAAACTGAGAAAAAAGTTTTAGGAGACCTTTGAAGACGCCGTCCTGATCGATGCCGGCCTCATCGAGCCCCTGCTGGTTGACGAAGCGCACGCGCACGACGGCCTTCAGCGCGCGCGCCGGCAGCGCCGCCAGCTGCCGGTACCCGTCCTCCACCAGCCGCGCGCGTCGCACCGTCACCAGCGTCGACCTCACTCCCGACACGCACGCGCGCTCCGTCAGACCCAGCACCACCTGCATCACCATCACCACCATCACCATCACCTTCGGTCAACTGCAACTAGTTTGTTAAATCAACGCACATCCCCAACACATTTCTCAACAATCAAATTAAGCAAGAGAATATGTAATTCCATACATTATTTTATACACAATTTCCTTTTCACAATTACCTCAATATCGTTGATATACAAAGTAATAATATGATAAGAATAACAACGAATAATCTATATACCTTTTCATCGGCGACTGCTCGTCTAAACAATCTGACACGTTCCCCGTGCGCTATCATATGCGGTGTCTTCTGTACTAACACCTAAAAAACAAACATTACTTATAAATCTCTACAATTAATAAATTTGGAGTGTTTGTATGAGATATAAAAAAAAATTGAAAACACATGATGTATTTGCTTTACTTATAAATAAAATATTTATTTCTGGCTGTGTGTGTCTCCAAGTCTGCGTTCTGCGTTTATATTAGTAATTAGTATGTTGGTGAGGCATGTTGAGACCTGTTGCGGCTTCTTGCCCTTCTCAAGGTCAGCCATGAAGTGGTTGTCCCGGATGTCGCGCACGAGCCAGTGCTGCGGCGGCGCGTACGGCCGTCTGCAGTCGCGCCGGTACAGCGCCAGCAGCAGCGTGTGCAGCGAGCTGAACAACGCGTTACTGCTGATACTCTTCAGGTCTGGAAACAATTTCTTTTATTAAACCAAAATACTTCTTAATGACCGTCTGCTGTACATGACTATGAGTGGAACGGACTGTTTTAATTTATTAAAAAAAAACAACTTTTAATTAAGCCGTAAGTTGTATACAAGTAAATTAAAAACCTGCAAACATAAATATACTATGTACTACATTGAAACTTGTTAAATAGTCAACTAAAGACCACCTCAAGCTGCTTAAATAAATAGCAAATTTCAGTACGGCAGTTAAACCCTTGTTTCATTAGATCTCATTTCCACTGACGCGACAGAAAATGTTTTATAAAAAAAACTCTTACCAAATAACTGTCCCATGATAGATTTATATACGAACATATTTAAAAATTGCGACATTACAATAAAATCTTCCAATTTGAATGGATCTTGTTGCTCATACATTTCCATATCATCCAAAATACTGAAAATAAAAAAAGATAAATATTACAAGAAAAAATAAGTCAACTTAGCATTATAATTAGAGAAAGTTACAAATATTGAGTGTTTATTTAAACCAATATAATACTTACGTAACATAATGCGTCATACAATCCGCGAATAGTATCAACATTTGAAACTCCGGAGCAGTAGTCTTGGTATTAACAGCTAAGAGATCAAGGAAAGACTTGAGGCCGCAGTTTGGTCCCAACGTGCATAGAAACTGCCATAGAGAATATAAAATTTCATCTTGATTGCAAAGACCTGAAAGCAAACATTTTGAATGTTAATAATCCTATAAAATCTCTTTTACTGTCTATGCCTGACTATAGAGTTCATCATTAACCTGTCCTTATCCCTATCGAGGGTCGGCACAGTATGTACTACTCCTCCATACATCTCTATCAGCCGTCATATCCACATCACACAGTCATTCCATACTTTTTTTGGTCTTCCCCTACCCTTGTAGCCATCCACATACAATCTCATTACTTTTTTGCTTATATCATCATCATCCCTCCTCATATAATAACTATAGAGTTGTTATATAAAATTGTTATAAATATCTACATAACTTTCCATAATAATTAGAATCATGTGACACTTCACTATTCAAGACATGACAATCCATTTATACATAACGATGGATCAAACTGAAATTTAGCATAGAACAGAGTCTGGACGAACACATAGATTACTAATTAAGTTTATTACTACTACGTGAACGGAGTCACGGGCAACAGCTAGTGAATAAATAAATCTTTGTCTAGTTTATTCAGATAGAATACCTGTAAGTATATCCAGTTTAACTTGCGTCATAGTTTGCAGCGCGGTATGGTACATGGAACAGATGAGCGCTGCCTTTGTGCTGTCTGGTGAACCCAATCTCCTGAAGTTCTTACTGGAACTAGATCTGAAAAGTATACTAACTAAAATATATTATGATGTCGAAGATTAAATTGTCTGTACAAAAATTGGTGTAAAAAAGGTGCACATTCACATGTATTTGAATTCAATGGAAATGAGAAATTATAGCAAATCTATCTAAGAAATTTTACTTTTTTAAACACAGATTTTTTAAAACAATCATATTTGTATCATCCATTTAAGCTTTAGAACATTCCAGAAGAAATCCATAGACAATAAGTAATTGTCAATCAGGGAAATGTATCAATATAATTTGTCATTTTCAATGAGTTTAACCTGTAGGTATTCAATTATTAATCAGATTTTAAAAGTCATTTCACCCATAGAATTCTTGTATTAGTAATTAAAATAGACCATATATGTTTATCCAAGTAAAATTCAACGGTTTGTTAGTTCACAGTAATTTCCTCTCACCTACTAGTCCTCGCTTCAATAGCTCTCCTTATCAAAGCCGCTGGGTTCATACTTTGTATAGGAGTGGATGGCTGGGATGGCCCAGCGCCTTCCTCACTACTCACGCCAGCCTCAACCATTTCTTTAAGTGGGGTTGCCATTATCTTCTTGAGTAATGGTCCTCCCCATAACAAAGCGAGTTGGTTGCGTAGATTTCCCATAGCAGGAGGTAAATATGCATCAAAGCTTTGAGAAAACCAGCCGAGTACAGGGTGCCAATTGCTTAGATTACTTTTCTTGAGAACCACATATTGTTGACAGGAGTCGAGGAATCTTGTCACCACCAACTAATGGAAGGAGAAATTTTTAAATATAAATAAAAAATTACTAATAATTAACATTTTGCAATGAATAAAATTGTATATAAAAAATAAAAATGTGTTATAAGAGTTAATAGATATAATAATTGTCTTCGTCCATTGTAAGAATTTATTTTTCAACAAACAAAATGTTCTAATACAAAACAGACTTACCACAAAAGTGGGATAAAAAGACTCTGGTAGCGCATGTTCTCTCTCTAAATGTGCCATCTGTATTAAGTTGGACAGCAAACACAATGCGTAATTCCCTTCTAGCGTGTTAAAAACGATACGCATATTTTGATCAGTACTCAAAAATTCCAAGCATTTGTCGAACATGGCATGTGAACGAAATGCTGCAATTGACTGAAAAGAAAGTTTTTATATCATTTTATATAAACACTTCACCATCCCTATACCTCAAACAATACTGCTAATCCTTTCATTCTCAAAAATATAGAAAATAATAATTATATCCACATACAAGAACCAAAACATAAAGATTGAAAAGTTTGGTTACAATTCATGGTCAACATTATGGTACTGTTGGGATTATTAGGAAAGTTGTGAGAGAGGTTCTGTCCTGGTTGATTGCATACACCTAAGTAATATTAACTAGAAACAAACTCCTTACATTTATAGATAGAAATAATTGAAAACAGTACCAATAGGCACAAAAGTTTAAAGAATCACAAATTCTGGAGTTTTGGATTGCAACTTACCTCTGGTGATATCTGCTGCATATGGTATATTAGTGTCGGCACAGACAAGATCTGTATTATATACATTGTGAGCAATTTCTCCGAAAACTGTGCGGAAATGAGCGGTCTCAATGATAATGTAACTATTGCAGTTAATGAAATATTTTTCAGGCTAACTTTTTCACGACACAAACCCCGAAGTAATAAAGACTGAAACAGAAAAGATATTCAATAAAAAAATCCTAAAAAAGGGGATTAAAACACAATTTAAAGAACTAACCTTCAATGTTAAATAATAGCCTTTATGAAACAAAGAACCCATGATATTTGCACACAATTGTGTCATGCCACCTCTGAGCTTATCAAAGTTCTTAAGTCTTGTGAGTGCCCAAGTGTTGGTTGCAGTGAATGCTATTAGTGTATGCAGATGTATGAGGATACTCTGCATGTCTATTGGTGATTCTGGTTTCAGTTCTTCTAGATATAAACAACATTTGTAAAGGAGTGCCTTTATATGTGCTATCCATTGCAAGCTGAAAAATATAGTGCAGAATATTTATAATTAGATTTATTACTAATATTATAATTGCAAAAGTTTAAATGAATGAATGGATGGATGTTTTTAAGAAGGTATCTCTAAATGGTTAAAGGCATCTTGATGAAATTAGGCACAGATATAAATTGGTCAGAAAGAACACATAGGCTATTTTTTATTTTTTTTTAACTCCACGCAGACAGAGTTGCGGGAGACAGCTAATACCTAAGAAAACACAATTATTCTAAATCTTCAAGAACTTTACCTGTATTCTTTATTTAGAAACACTCCAACATATGAAAATTTAACAGAATCAGAGTGCAGACTTTGTACAATATATTTACAGAGTTTCTCCAATCTCTTTCTGTCTCGTGTTTGTTTAAATATTAAGAATAAGCGACATGATGCTTTATACACATCTAACGCTGGGATCAGCTCAAATGCAGGTGATGGTTCCTCTTGTGATCCATGCGGGTTTGTTTCGGGGAGCAGTTCATCAAATTCTTTCCTGAAATGATTTTGCTATTAGAAATGACAAATATAACTTCCATGTTAATTAAGATTATATCTAAAACTTTGATGTTACTCTTCTTTTCCAAAGTATCAAAATGAATTAAATGTTATAGTTTACATAAAGTAATCATAAATGAATACCAGTCTGATAAGTTTTGATCGACTTAATAGATAAAAATAAATAGTACATAACTGTTATTGGCAATATTCTCTATTTACATATAATCAGTACACCGAAGTCATATGTTTTATTTGTTCATATATCCAAAATCCTAAGAGGTATTTAATTATAAGTAACAACAATAGACTTACAGTATTAATTTTACAAATTTCTGTCTAGCAAGCCATCCTCTTACTATTGCTTGGATTTTAATAGCTGATGTCTCCCGTTTCTTCTCTAGCGCACGTTCTTCCCTGGCAGCCTTCGTTTGCTCGAGGAACGTATCCTTACTAGTTAAGGACTTGGAAAACATTTCAATGTTTTATATTTTAACCACAGAAAAAGCTTTGTTTCTATATGTCACGATAAAGTCTTGTTCATATACATTGCAGATTCGTGATTTTTATGGTACCTCCAGTAACATGTTTAATGAAGGGATAAATGGATCAAGGGTCGAAACACTCGAGTTTAATCATGTTTGGATATTTATTTATTATTCCGTGGGTTTTATTTAATTTAAAAGAATATTTTAGCCAAGAAGGAGACTAAGATATTGTTTGACATTTAATTTCATGGTGCTGCCAAATAAAATAAATTAGATAACAGAAAAGAGAAATTAACGTGTTTAAAATTTTCAATGTCTTTTCTATAAATATTGAGTTTTTTTTTAAAGTATCCTAAATTCATCGCACGTTTTCAATATAAAAGACACATATTTTTTTCTTTATTGTGTCAAACACCACAATAAGTTAATTTTTAAGCATGTAAACTTTTACGAATCGAAATAAATATTGCCTGACTGTGGAAAGATGGCGCTATTTGTAAGATGTATATTTTTAAACGTGCAATAAAATAAAAAAATCTAACGTTTTTCTGTTTGATTTTTGTGATTAAAATAATTTACGTTCGTATCTTGTTGATTTGTACGGTAAGGCTGTACGTTAGTTTGGTTACGATTCGTAGTAAGATCATTTTTATTAAATGCCTAATAGTAGTAATTAATGCCCAATAGTAGTTCTGTTAATATTAAAGTATTAAATAAAGTACTACAAGTATGAAGTGGATCAATTCTAAAAAAAGTTAAACGTCAATTGGAGGTAGTCTCGACCTCAAAAGACACAAACAATTTTTTTTTTGCAAATCTTAGTTATTAGGTGTCAAGTAGGTACCTGGGTTCTCAACAAGCACGAAAGATAAATTATTGAGGTTATGAATATTTTTCCATCATATGAAACAAAAAAGTTTATACAAAATCGATGTTATGTACCTTTTAATTATATGTACTTAAACTAGAAATAATGTAATCACAGAATATTTGCCTAGAAAACGTACATAGTTACGTCTCGTCTCGTTAGCCCAATCATTTCTGTAGCATCTATCTGCGCGTACAGCCATAACGTGGCCCCCTGGAGAGTTGGTTGTTTTATAAATTTTATAACTCGCTTCAACTCACTTTATGGGTATCCTAAATCAACATTAAATAAAAAGTACGGAGTAGACGTTACGAAACGGATCTAAGTTATAAAATTGTTTACATGTAAGTTTATCCAAGTTTTTTATTTCGTTTTTATGACTGATTATAAAATTTGCTAATCATTTATAATTATCATAAATCTCTAGGGAAGACTTTATCCTTCGTTTCACGTAGACTTCGCTCAACATGGATATAACGGAACAAAGTTTAATCGATAGGTATAAAGTTAATACTTTACAAAAATGAATAGAAAATAGTCGTACAGTGTAGAGAATATCAATAACTCAGAAGTATAGTATTGGATATTATATTAGTTTTTGGCCGTGACTTCGGCCGAGTGGAAGCTAAGAAAAATCTATTAGTAAATCTAGCCTAACTACGAAATCGATGTAGTAGTTTTTGAGTTTATTAGTTACTTACAAAAAATTCAAATATTTCCTCTTTATAATATAAGAATGGAAATTTAGATAAGCAGCTAACTTTTAACTTAAAAAATGACAGCTTGTTGAATTTTTTTATCAAACAGCTGTGATGTGTTGCTTAGGAATATTACATACGAGACAAATATATAATTAATCACTTGATCTCATTATATACCAATGTTTTGTCCTTTACTAGAAAAACATGTAAAGAACATATAGTCATACTTTTATGAAAGAAGCACTAACTTATCAGTAAGAACATTATGTGTGGCATTCCAACTAAACTTGACATAGTCACTGCAATTCCATTGCAATTCCCCTTATCACTGACTCGTCTTTTGTTTGTCCTATCACAGTTATCCTTATCAAAGCTATTGTCTTTGCAATTACTCATTGCGCTTTGACCCTAATCACCGGAAGTGGACGAGGCGAAAAATTTTCGAATACCAACCTAATGAGTTGCTACGAACTTTCGCTCTATGCTTATTATCACCTGTGTGAAGTAACTAAGAGATTAGTGTGTCAAAAAGAGTATGTAATTTATAGCTATTAAAAGATTATGAAGGATTAAAAGACAGATCGTGACATTCAGTCATAAAAATTTTCGTTCACAAATTATCAACTAACTAAAAACTATGTTATACGAGTGTCCATGGTATTTACATAGTTTAGAAATCCATTCTTTTATACACAATACCGTACAAATTATATCATACTAATATTATAAATACGAATGTTGTATGGACGAATGGATGTTTGTTTGTATGTATCCCCGGAACGGTCGAACGGATCTCGATGAAATTTACCATACATATAGATGATGGTCTGGAAGAACACATAGGCTATTAATTAAGTTTTTTTTTAATACTGTGCGGACGGAGTCAGACAGCAGCTAGTAAAATAATATTCGGATCGATCTTAAAGAGAATTTTCATTGATTTAGACCTTTAATTAATCAACCAAATAAGTTTCTTAACATTTAAAAATCTCAAGTTTTCTTCCATTCAGTAGATTTTATTTTAGTATAAGATAACGTTGTTGATGAATACTAAATATTTATTTAAATAAACATACAACTTGTTTTAAAGTAAATATAATTGTTAAATAATATCTATTTACTTGTTGATAATAATCACGTCATTGATTATCAGACAAATAAATTAGTAAATTAAATATCTTCATCAGATTATTGAAATAAGATAAAATTGTTAATGGACTCGCAAAGTATCAAACAAAGAGGTTCTGCGACGGGTCAATCAAAAACGGGAACTTTTGCAGACCGTCAAGATGAGAAAGTTATCTTACCTCGGCCACGTGCTCAGGCACGACAGATACAATCTGATTCAACTCATCTTGCTGGGAAAAGTTCCTGATAAAAGGACCGTTGGTCGCAGAAAAAAGTCCTGGTTGCGCAACATCAACAGGGGTTGCGAGTGCCGCCCAACTTTTTCGGCTCGCAAGAGACAAAGGGAAATGGAGAACTGATCGCCAACCTTAGCTAGTCGGAGAGGTACTTCAAGAAGAAGAAGAAGAAGAAGAAGAAAATTGTTAATATTGTCTCATTTATGTAACTTTCGTAACTAAGCAACTATATTTTCTATTTTCATTTGAAAACAAGACTTCTTAATGTATAGTAAATTTCATGCGTTTTATTAAAAACTATAAGGCTTTAAGGGATAAATGAAAGAGAGGATGAACCTTATGCGCTAGTCGAATTTAATCTGAAATGAGTAATTATAACAATCTTACGTAAACAATTTTATCTTTTTAAGGCAGTAATCACAGATTTCCGATTGGCCTCTTACCCATCCGTCGGCCTAGATACCGCTGGCGAGACGCCGTAGAGCTAGACCTGCGGGAGCTACAAGTGATGGACTGGAAGGAGAAGGCGCAGAACAGGCAACATTGTCGATCTCTTGTGTCAAAGGCCAAGACCAACTTTGGGTTGCTGCTCTAGCGGAGTAAGTAAGTAGTCATAGAATTATTAACAGACGTGTTTGAACCAATTTAAACACTGAAACTTTCTAAAATAATTTCATAGACAATAAACAACATTGTCAGCTAAAGAAACGCGTAAATATAAAATCTCATTTCCATTGAATTGGACAAAGTTGTAAATGTTGCTTTATTGTATTATTTCAGGAATTTACTATGAAGAACAATTAAATAATAAGATTTTTTATTTTTAAAGTTAAGAATATTTATAAGCAGGCTGGTACGGGATCATAAGGTTCCCAGCATATTTTTGAAAATACTATATTTGGTTAATACTTGAGCATAATCACTAGGGAGGAGCAATGGGGTCAACTGCCCCTGTCCCAACTCTCCTTAGGGAGTGAAAGTGAAATAAAAGAGGTATATAAACTACTTCGAAATATTAAGTTATTTAAAATTATTACTACGGATCAGTTTCTTTCATTACCTACGTAATAAACAATACCTTTGGTATAAAAAAAGCTTATTTTTACCTATCCCCCCAAAATCTAGCCTAGACCGATTGATTGAAAATATTATTTCAGTATTAAAATCTTTTAAAGCAACTCAAAAATTTAAATATAAGCAAGATTTAATTTAGATCGTGTATTTTGTTTAAAAGAAGACCGCTGTGGGCGGTCTGCATTCTTTATAGATCACGGATGGAACATAGAATGTATCCGCGATCAAATGCCTTCGGTCATTGTCTACGAATCATTTTAACGTACATATATATTATTTAGATTTATGTGCATAATGGGAGGTCAATAATTCGTATTCACCAATCGATTTTCTTCCTAAAATGTTTTATTATTCATATATTTCATGTTGTTATTCCCTTGAGCATAATTAAAAATTATATTCCGATAGATATCTTATCAATATAATTGGAAGACCATAATAATGTAACGCAATAGTTTTGCAGCTAGATTAAAATGAAAAAAGATACAGATAAGAAAATAATTTTCTATATTTTTTACTTAAGTATCTTCTTTTTTAAATTAAATTACTATTGAACTAAAAAACTGAATTTCTGAAGGATACCTTTAGACTAGATAGAAGACATTTTGATTAAATCTTTGCAAATTTTTCAAAGTCTATCGCAATTAAGTATCGATGTGTTTTAAGTGATCACGGAATAATTTTGAAATTTGTAGTTTTTTATATTAATATTTTTTAAGTTTAGGGACGTGTTGAAACGAAATAGGCCACACAAATTAAAAATTCATAATCTCTGTCTTAACAAACTGGAATATCAAAGAATAGTATGGTAATAAATAAAAGATATAGTTAAAAAACGTCTGTTCTTGTTGATACAAATAAATTAACTATAAAGATTCATCAAACATGATAACTATTTATTATGTGGCATAAATCTTAACTACAATAAAAACTGTTAAAGATCCTCTTTAATTAGAAAATAAAATGAACAATTTAGATAAGAAAGATAAAACACATGTTTGTTTGGAAGGAAATCTTTTCATTTTAAAGTACAAAATTAAAAAAAAATTAGGAAGAACTAAAAGGTTAGGTATGGAATAAGTCGGAAATATAAATCTAGCTTTACATTACACCCTTATGTATTATTGTACTTACACCCTTATGTGTTAATATATTAGTGTTTATAGCTAAAAATTTAACATTTATTAGATTTCTGTCTTCTGATCTAATTATATATTATTGCTTG